TTCTCTCCTTTGACTAGAGCTCCTCCATCTTTTAAAAAAATTGCTTAGTCAATACAATATGGTAGGTAAAAGGTTAACAAAATCTTTCCCTTCTTCTGCATGAGAATTTAAACTTTAGGGGTTTGGGGGCTATTTTTTTCTGAAAACCTGATAAAGGCTTCCATCAACTATCTTTTTATGGTAAAAGTGACCTCTGATTAGTAAATTGCACATGGACTCAAAAAACTATAAATATGTGACAAGCCACTCAGCGCATGGTGTTGTTTTGAGGTACCAGCTTTTGTGAGGCGTGAGGCTTTTAAGCCAGGGTGATGCTTGCCATCCTCTGATGTGTGTCCTTTCCTGCACCTGAGCTGTGGACCGGGGACCCACAAGAATAGCCCCTGGATAGCCGTGTGGTCTGCTGCTCCCAAAGATGAAAGCGGAATGCTGCCTTGCTGGAACGTTGGGTTTCCTGCCTTTGGGCATTTCAAATATGTAGTCAGAATAAAAATATATAAACAATACTGGAAGGTTTCTAATGAAAAAAGGAGTACTCTCTATTCTGCTCCTCCTGATTTTCCCAGTCTGTCTCCTCAGAGGGACTATTTCATGCAGATATTTTTTTCAGGTATTTACTCCCATATTTCTAAATAAAATATTTATGTTGCTTTTTCCTGGTTACCAGTTATTAACACCTGTTGACTTGTCACTGCGGAAGATGGTTTTTCCTTTTATGCCACTTTTACTTTCCATGTCCCCATTTTCTCCCTATCATCTAAGTTAAAGTAATAGCGAGCCTCACGTTATATAGTAACTTGTGGCTCACTGCATAAGTAAGTAGGTACTATGATGAAATATTCTTTCCTACACATTTTCCTTTGTTATTCCTGGAGTCCACTGCTTTGACCTTTTCAAAATTTATTTTATCTGTATATTTCTGAAAAATTCCCCCCACATTCTCCATCAGGTCTGTCAAAATATTCTCCAAATGTTCAAAAACATCAGACCAATTATTAATTTTTTTTTTTTTTTTCATGCAGATTGACTTTCCAGACTTCTCTATCCTTTTGCTCTAATCACAATTGGCTTCTGCTTCTCTGGGCTGTCTTTTCACCTTATGCTGGGGCTTTCCTTGAGTTCTGTCCACTGCTTTATTGAATTTCTTGGATTTTTCTGGTGCACATCCAAAAATAGCTTCCTATGAAAGGGTCCATCGGAAGTAAAGACTTTGCATTTGTTTCAAATTTCATTCTTGATTTTTCTTTAGTTGTTTGGTTGAACACAGAATTCACTGAAAAATTTTTTTCTTTTAGTGTGAAAGGTATGACTTTATTATAGAGTAGAATTTCACGTTACTTTACAAAGGCATTGTTGGGGTGTCTCGGTGGGTCAGTTGGTTTAAACATCTGACACTTGATCTCAGCTTAGGTCATGATCTTATGGTTCCTGATATCGAGCCCCAGTACAGAGCCTGCTTGTGTGTCTCTCCCTCTCTCTCTCCACTCCTCCTCGCTCACTCACTCTCTCTTTAAAAATAAATAAACATGAGAAAAATTTGTAAAAGAAGGCATTATTATCATAGAGCATCTGTTAATGATATTTCTACTTTTGGTTTGCTAGCAATCATACAAATGCTACCATTTGGCAATGCTTAAATTGTGTTGTCCATTGTTCTCTTCCATTTTTGAATATCTTGAGAGCAGAGAGAGGCCTTTGTCCGGGATTTTCCCTTTAAGGATGTCTATACCGCAGACGGCCTTGGTAGATAGGTATAGTGTCCTCTTCCAGAGCAATGGGCAGACGTGATTACTGCCTGTGTAAGGTATTTGGGTCCCCTAAGCTCAGGTTCCTTCTGTGTGTGCCAGTGTTCCCCGGTTCTCTTCTCATCACTTTGTGAGAATTTCAACTGGAGAAACCAGTGCATAGAAGGATGATACTCTGACTACTGCTGTAATGAACTGCCCTCTGTCTCTGACCCAGGGGTCTCATTTTTTCTGCTAGCATCCATGAAGCTATGCAGGCTAAGTTAGGATCTTTCATGCAGGGCAAAACCATAGACTCTTCACAGTTCTTGACATCTAGTTTTTTTTCTCTGCAAATTTCCTCAACCTAACCCATAATGCTTTCCTCCTCATGACATTTATTTGATGTGTACTGCATTTAGTTGTTTATATTTTCCATATGTTTTCTCATTTCAAAGACCTTTTATAATGAAGGTACTTTGTATATAGCAAAGCACAACAAATGTCAGGTTTTATGAACGTTTCTAAAATGTGGATGATACATTTTCTATTTGAGTAGGTAGTATGTTTAATATTAACTTGTATTGTAAGGTATAAGGTATGAATAGATGAATATATACTCTTAAATTATAGTTGTGTAACACTGCCTTGAATCATTTATTTGAGGTATGTTTTATGTCATTTATTATTTATTTCTCTTTTCAATAACAGCTAACATTTATTGGGCAATTACTATGTGTTAGGCACCATGTTATGGCAATTTTATGGATTCTCTTATCCCTCTCAATAGTCCTAAGAAGATGTTTTTATTGTTTCTGTTTTACAAAAGAAGACATAGAAATACAAAAGGGGTATGTGAATTGCCTAAGGATATAAAATTGGCAAATGAGTACTCACACCCAAATCTGTTTGATTCTTGAAACCTGGCTCTTAACCGCTACATTCTACTATAAAATGGAGAGAAGGGAAAGGATAAGAAATATATTTTCTCACCTGGAAATTTTTTAACATTGTGTAGTTTGAATTATTATTTTAGGCCTTTAATATTGATTTGGGATAAATAATAGTTTCATTTTCTATGTGTAATGGAATTCAGTAAATAACTCATGCTAAAAGCAACTGTGTTCAATCACAGCTTTTTAGAAGTACAAAACAACAAAATAAAGCAATACAGGAACTGATATTTACACATCCCGAAGCTGGGAAATTTTAAGTTGTGGTTCCCACAGCAATAGCAGCTCAGCCTCAGGGCAGTGAGTGTTGTGATCTAAACTGAACACCATATGCAGCTGCATGAAATAATATTCTACATGCTCGTGGGGGCCCGATAATGGCCACTGTGGGAACAATGAATGTGTAAATTATCAGCTACTGTTTTATCACTGTAGTTCGGGGCATTTCATTTATGTGGCTGTTTCATAGTACAACCTAGGTGTTTCACTGGTTATACATTATGGTGGCATTTCATAGTGTGTAAATTATTAATGGATCCTGAAAGAAAATGTTTTTAACTTGAAAGATTATTTTTATGTTTTCCATCTAATTTATAAACACTTTATTCTCCTCCCTATCTTCATTGCCAATGGAAAAGCATACTTGTAGGAGTTCTTGTTTACATGTGAAGTGTGGTTTGTAGGCAGGTTCAAGATGCTGGTTAACCTTTGTAATGTATTGTGTGCTTGTGCTTAAGAGATGACTAAGAAGTATGTTTTAGAGCCTCTTAAAACATAGGATCATCAATCTTCAACTACTTTGGTTTCATGCAGTGCACCACCACTGAGGACACATGGAACCTATCCACAACTTACAGAAAAATTCGGTGCATCCAGCTTCTTATTTTGGCAGATTCTCAGAGGAAATGTCAATTGGGTATTACCAACTGCTCTGCGTTGCCTTAATAGTGCTTGAAGAATTTAACATATTGTTTAACAGTGTGTGGAAACTAGGGCCTTGGCTTATCATTTTGTCGATTGGTGTCTTTGTTGATGGCATTTAAATTTCTATGAGTCTCTCAAGTACACGGTTGAAAATATAAAATTTATCTTTAATGGTGAACTCCTATATAGGTGGTTTAATAAATTCACATAGAAAATCACTGTTATCAAATTTATATGTAGAAGAAAGGATAGACTAACAAATTACATGTATATATAAGTTATATGTATAAACTTCCAAGAAACGGATTAAATACATTTTATTATTTTGTGTTTTGAAACTTAATACCCCAGAGATTTCTAGGGATGATTTTGTTTTTATTAGCAAAATATTTAAGGTATCTACTGGATACCAGGCACTGTGGATCCAAGGTAAAACACACTAAGCCTCTTAGTGACTATGATTAGAGATTCCAAGTCTTACTAATTTGATTAATAAGACCACTGATATCAGTCAGGCATGTTTACCATTATTCAAATGATCCTGAAAAGCCAACTCTACTGTTAGTGAACTCTTTAATTGAAAGACAATGGCCAAGGTTATAAAGTAAGCATATCCATGAGTGGCAGTTCATTTATTTTTATGAGCCATCACATTTATTCCACGTTCATGTTTTGTAGTATTGCATACTTACCCAATTTCTACAACATGTGGGACCATAACTTTTACATAATATTTCATTTTAAAAGGAAGAACAAAAATGGTGGTTGATTATTTTGCTGTTTGTACCTTTTTCTAGGCTTAGTACTTCATAACAGAAGTACATAATCAGACATTTGGCCTAGGGTAAGTTTATGTGAAATTTCAGAGGATGAAGGATTTGAGTCTAGGGTTGTACATACTGCATGCTCATTTTGACAAATCTGGTTTAGTAAGAACTGGGGACCTTTGAAGCGTTTGGTAGTTGTTAAGGTTTTTAATGGTCTCAACTGTTTGGATTAGTAAAAATGTTAAACGTATTACCTATATCCTATACATTTATTTATTAATATAACATTGTAGTAATGTATAATTACTTCCAAAAACATACACCAAAAAGTGAAATAAAAATGTTAAGAAAGTTCACATAAGTAGAAGTTCTTTTCTTATTATAGTTGTGTCTTGCCCACTTCCTGGGGTATGCTAACTCAGGAAACTTACTTTAAAATACAGCTTTTCATATACATCTACCCATCTTATCATTAAAGGTCATCCTCTCTGGAGGAAGGACCCAGTTAACATGATCAATCATGTTATCATGTTGATCATGCCTATCAAACTCCAGTTTTATCCAATTTCCTTTCACATTATGGAAGTAAATGTAACACAGAGTGTGCTTCTATTTGTGCTGTGTGTCTCTAGGATGAGGATGGGACAGAAGAAGACAACAGTCGTGTTGAACCTGTTGGACATGCTGATACCGGTTTGGAGAATATACCCAGCTTTTCTCTGGAGTAAGTTACTGATATTTTTAACTGAATTTGTAATATACATGTAGCATCACTGATAGCAGCAAGTATTCCAAAAGTATATGGCATGTGGAATGTTTGTGCTTAGTTAAAACCATGCGTTGCATTGGTTTGTTTTCCAAAGAGCATCTTTTATCTATTGAGTTAATTATCTAATGTAAGAAGTATAGCATGGAAATTCACATGTTCTGTCCTGAGTTTCATGCCTTGGCAAATACTATTAAATTATAATATAAAATAGTATTTGATTGACAATGTCATCTTAACAGCACTGTAACTGTTTTCAAATTGCTTTGTATGTCATTGTTTTGGTCATTTGTTCGTTCCTCAACTTTGCTAAATTAAAAACAAAATGTGTAGATCTACTTTACTTGAAAAACCAGTTGGATCATGTAAGCATTAGTCATGTTAGTATATATTTTTTTGATTTGGAAAAATCGAATGTCTCTTGAGAGATTTGTTGAAATCTCTGTTTGTTGAAAAATTCGAATCATAGGTTAGGGACCTTGAACATGGTTTTAGGTATAAAAGGAAGAAGAAAAACTTTACTATATTATTTCAGCTTTACAATTGTCTTAAATATTGGCATGTTTAAATGGAAGGTGTTCTTAGGACTTCTTCCCTTGGTAGTTTAGACCAGGGAGGGCAGTCATTCTGAAATTTTTTTTTGACTTTGGGTAAAAGTTGAAAGGGCCTAGATATCAACATTTAAACTCTTAACTCTGTCTTCTCTTGGTGTTTCAAGGGAAGGCTCTCAAAAAACTGCTGTCAGTGAGAGTAATAGTTTCGAGAACCAGGTTATGTTTAGACAGATAGCAACCAGCAGTCTCCGTTACATTTGAGAAGACTTGCCATGTCCTAGTTCTTTTAAGAAAGAATGTGGAATAAAATAAATTTATAAGTTATATTCTCAATTGACAAGCTAATCATTAAATAGATGTTCAAATGATATTAAGTATCTAAGATGTGAAATTCTATGAAAATATAAAAAAATTAAAAATTCACTTGAATAGTATTACATTAGTAAATATTTTGGCAGTATGGCAGGATTCTAATTTTTTCCTAATTAGTGTATGTGATTAAATATATGCGTGTATTCTCAATTTTGTTTTGATTTGTTTGATATCACTATCTTTAATTTTCTTTAGTCTTTATATTATATAGTCAGGACATTAATAGTATGTAGCATAACTTTATTTTTTATTTACGTAATATAATTGAAGAATTAGCATTTCCTTTATAGTTGTCCACATTGCTTCAACTAGATATTTAACTGAAATACTAGTTTCAGAAATTGTCAGATAAGACCTACTTAGATTTCTGTGCACTACACATACCCGCGCGCGCGCGCGCACACACACACACACACACACACACACACACACACACACGGAAAAATCTATAAAGGAAGTGAAATCTCATAAAAGGTTTAGAAAATTTACATTCTTTAAGTTAAACCAGTTTTCATTAAACTCTGGCTTATTATATTAATAGTAAAGTACTTTAGTTATGTAATAGAAGTAACTTCATGTTACTTCTATATCTCTTCATGACCTTAAAGCTCAATTACAAACACATGAAAATTATTTGATTTTTATTAGAAAAAAATTTTTTTTACATTTATTTATTTTTTGAGAGACATAGAGAGACAGAGCACAAGTTGGGGAAGGGCAGAGAGAGAAGGGGACACAGAATCCGAAGCAGGCTCCAGGCTCTGAGCTGTCAGCACACAACCTGATGCGGGGCTCAAACTCACAAACCGTGAGATCATGACCTGAGCTGAAGTTGGTCGCCCAACTGACTGAGCCACCCAGGCGCCCCAAAATTATTTGATTTTTAGCAGGTACCTGTTGGCTTTGAGAAAGGAGTTTCATACCCTGCGTTGCAGTTACACTTAGAGAAGTAGGAAATGGTGACTGAATTATGGTGGAACAGTGGGATGTAAAGATGGCTGGATCACATGTGGACTGTCACCTACAGAAGCAAAAGCTTTTACCTCATTGAGTTATTGGAAGGAGCAATAATGTGACATATGCAGGAGCACTTTGTAAATTTTAATGTGCTCTGCAGCCAAAACACCTTTACTCATTTAATCTATATTGTCCTTGAAATAAATACTGTGACGGAAAATTTTTCGTGGAAATCTAGAGTTCTGACTTACAAAATGTGTACTTGTATTACACATAGAACAGTGTGTGGTCCGAGAGAAATGGTTCTGTGTCATTTTAATGTAGTTATTTCTGCTGATTGCTCTCTCTGCATGCCATCAGGCTAGTGTTCAGGTATGTAGTGTTTAATGTCGCTTTCATCACCATGCTTCTATTCCAGAATGTGTACATGTATGTGTGTGTGCTTGGTGGGATTTTCGTTTTGTTCTCTTTTGTTGTTGTGTGCCTGTGTTGTAGCAGTTTTTTTGTTTTGTTTTGTTTTGGTTTTGGTTTGTTTACAGTACATGTTCATGCTCCCTCATTCATCATTGTCTCACAGTGATATGGTAAAGCTCGTACAAGTCCCCAACGATGGAGGGCCTCTGGGAATCCATGTAGTGCCTTTCAGTGCTCGAGGCGGCAGGTAACGTATCTTGGAGGTTTTTAATTGAATCATAATGTTGAGTGTTTTATCTTCATTTATGCTCAGATATAGAGTGGTGTTGATTTAGCATATGCTTAATAGGAACATTTTCATTTGGGGGCACTCGCTACTTCATACGTATACATCATAATCATGGAAAGCACTCAGGCTGATGAAGAAATCAAGCATTTAAATTATTCTAATAATTTTATTGGTCATCACACATCCCTGCAAACATTGTACTTTGCTGTACATTGGTGAAACACTTTAGAGTCAGAACTCCAGCTGAATTTCCAAAATTAAGGGAGAGCTTAAAGCAGTTTTCTGGAAAAATTTATCCAATAAAAATTATCTGGGTAACTTAGGGAATGATTCATGTTAAATTCATATTTATGTTTATTTAGTTCTTTAATCTTGAAAGATTTTTATGATTATGTTTGAAATTTGTGAAAGTTAAATAAGCTATAGATTTATTTCCTACCATGCGACTTGTGGCTCCTTCTTTTTTCAATCTCTGCACACTCAGATGTCAAATTTTGTACGGCTAATGACTTCATTAATTTATAGAATGTGTATCTTTAAAAACTTCAAATGTTGTGTGAGTTTCTTTTCTTCTGCCTTTTTTTTCTGTGAAAAAAACTATCCTTGGGTTTATTAAATTTTTATTTTAATATGTTTATTAAATTGTGAATTGATACTGCAACTAAGGGTGATGGTCCTCTGTAACAACAAGTGACGGGCATTGCATCCTTGCCCTGGAGCTGTTAACTGTTAAGTGCTTGAAGTTTACTTACACACTCTCCTAAATCCCATCCAGTAATTACCTGGTGAAATCTATTTATGAACTACTTGGCTTCTCATTCTTTCTTTTATTGTTATGATTATATTTATTTATTTTTTAACTTCCTTTACACTGGGACAAGAAAGGGGAAAGCTGGCAGATGGCCTTAGACCAGTGACTTGAGATGTAGTTCACATCTGTAGTTCACTGTTGCCAGGGAATTGCAAGCATGTAGCATGGTGTAAAAAACAGATGGAATGTCAGTGATAAGTGTGTGATTCAATTATTTACTTAAGTTTGTTGATTGAGTATTGTACCACTGTCCTAATTGTGGTGACTCCAGATTTCATCTCGTTGGTAGAGCACAGGCTTTATGGAATGTCTGGAAGCTGAAACTGATTTACCAAGAACTCTGCTGGAGTAAGAGGCTTGACAGTTAGTGTTATATAACAAGCTGTGAACTTCACCTTGAATTTTGAGGTGGTGTTATATTCACAGGGTTCTGACTGCTTTCTCTTTTTTCCTCCTTCTCTTTGTTTATTTTTAAACTCTAGAGAAGCATTGAAATTTCTTTAAGGCACTCGCGTTTAAACACAGTTCTTTTTCAAAATGGACTTTGCCTTTATTTCTTTTAAAGAATACAATTTTAAATGATCTCAAAAGTTAAATCTTTTTTCACTTATTTTACGAGTAGAAAGAAAAAAGATAAGGTAAACTGTGTGGATTATAGCTTCCTGATATTAGTGTACCTTTACCTTCCTGTGGGATGTAACTTTTCACAAATGGGACTTAATTGTGTATATACCAGCTTTGAAGCAGTATTTCATTTTTTGTTGTTATTGAAGTATAATTGATGTTAGTTTCAGGAGTTCAATGTAGTGATTTGACATTTATATACATTCTGAAATGATCACCATGATAAGTCTAGTTACCATGTCACCAAAGTTAATAAATAATATCGTCTGTATTCCCCATGACTTATATTCCCATGACTTATTTATTTTATAATTGGAAGTCTGTTCTTCTAGATGCCCTTCACCCATTTTATCCACCCCCAAAACTCACTCTCTTCTTGCAACCATCGGTCTTTATGTGTGAGTCAGGTTTTGCTTTGTTTTGTTTGTTCATCTGTTTTGTGTTTTAGATTCTACATGTAAGTGAAATCATAGGGTATTTGTCTGACTCATTTCACTTAGCATAGTACCTGGAAGCTCCATCCATGTTGTCACAAATGGCAAGTTTTTCTTCTATTTAATGGCTGAGTAGTATTCCATTGTATACCCATACCACATATTTATCCCTTCAGCTATAGATGGACACTTAAGTTGCTTCCATATCTTGGCTATTGTAAATTAAGCTGCAATGAACATAGGGGTACATATATCTTTTCCAGTTAGTTTTTTTGTTTTCTTTGGATAAATACACAGAAGTGGAATTGCTGAATTGTACAGTCGTTCTTTTTTTAATTTCTTGAGAAACCTCTGTACTGTTTTCCATAGTGGTAGCACTAATTCCTACCAACAGTGAATGAAGGTTTCCTTTTCTCCACATCCTCACCAATACTTGGTATTTTGTGTGTTTGTGTTTGTGTGTGTATGTGTGTGGGGTGGGGTTAGTCAGTCTGAAAGGTGTGAAATGATCTTATTGTGGTTTTAATTTGCATTTCCCTGATAATTAGTGATGTTGAGCATGTTTTCATGTGCTTTTTGGCTATAGAAAAAATGTCTACTCAGATCTTCTGCCCATTTTTAATTTTTTTGCCTTGGAGTTGGGTGAGTTCTATATATATAATGGATATTAGCTGTTTTTGTAAAATATGAATTTCAAGTATTCTCTCCTATTTAGCACAGTACGTTTTCATTTTGTTGACAATTTCCTTCACTTGCAAAAACTTGTTCATTTGCTGTACTCTCATTTGTTTATTTTTGCTTTTGTTGTTCTTGCCTTGGAGTCAAATCCAAAAAATATCACTAAGACCAATGGCGAGGTGGTTATCACCTATGTTTTCTCCTTGGATTTTTATGGCGTTAGGTCTTATGTTCAAATCTTTAATCCATTTTAAGTTATTTTGCATATGCCTTAAGATGCAGTCCAGTTTCATTCATTTGCATGTAGCTATCCAGTTTTCCCATGCCATTTGTTAAAGAGACTGTCCTTTCCCTGTTGTATATTCTTGCCTCCTTTCTCATAAATTAATTGATCATGTAAATATGTATGTATTTTTGACCTCTCTGTTTTGTTTTCTTGATCTGTGTGTCTGTTTTGTGCCAGTACCATAATGTTCTGATCACAATAGCTTTGTAGTATAGTTGGAAATCAGGGAGCATCATGCCTCTAGCTTTGTTCTTCTTTCTTAATATTGCTTTGGCTATTTGGGTTCTTGTGTGCTTCCAAAAGAATTTTAGGATTGTTCATTTTAATTCTGTGAAAAATGCCATTGAAATTTTGATAGGGATTGCAGTGAATCTGTAGGTTGCTTTGGGTAATATGGACTAGAGTGTTGTGTTTTCATTTTTATTTGTTTCCAGGTATTTTGGTTTTGGCTGCTTCTTTTGTTATTGTTAATCCATTGGTTGTTTAGTAGCCTGTTGTGTGGTCTCTATGTGTTTTGTTTTTTTCCAGTTGTTTCTTGAAGGTGATTTCTGCTTTCATACTGTTGTGGTTGGATAAGATGCTTAATAGGATTTAAAAAAAATTTTTTTTAATGTTTTTTTTTAAATTTTTTTTTGTATTCTTTCTTTTATTTTATCTTAATTTTTATTTTCTAGAATTTACATCCAAGTTAGTTAACATATAGTGTAATAATGATTGCAGGAATAGAACTTAGTGATTCATCACTTAGATATAACAGCCAGTGCTCATCC